TAACGTAACCGTACCTACTACGTAGTATATATATATATATATATATATATATATATATATATATATATATGAGCATAAGCTTCGTTAAGATACCGAAACTGAAGCCGGGCCTCAGGTAACGTTTTGAAGGCCAGATTATAGTCCACAAGGTTTTAATGGAAAGGCTAGAGACGACGCTTTGGTATCTAAATAGGTAAATAAGAGCCGACAGAGATGAGGCGATTTGAAAACTTACCAAACCCCAATAAAACTAAGACTAAATTAATTGAACCCCTCAATCCTATAGTTGTACTTTATCTTGGAAACGGAAATGGGGGCCGCCTATCGGACGTACATGCAACAAAACATGCCGCCGAGCCTATGCCGATGGCTGCTCTTCTGTTGTATTCAGACCAGCTGGTACAACATCCATGTCTTATTGGAATCTACACGATATTTGATTCTACAGATTAACAACAGGAAAAATACCATCGTCGCAGTTATATACAAAGGTTTCGTCAGCTATCTTCCATCTTCGTAAGTGCATAACTAGGATTGTTATATTATCATCGAAGACTATATACCTAGTATTGTCCAGCTACCTACCATCATCTTAGGTACATTTTTAGGAATGTTCTATTACCGTCGCAGACTATATATACTATTGTTCAACTATCTACCATCGTCGTAGGTTCATTTCGAGGTTTGGTTTACTATCGTCGCAGGCTATGGAACTAGTGTTGTGCAACTGTCTACCATATTTGTAGGTACATATCTAGAATTTTTAACTATCTACCATCGTTGTAGTTACATATCTGGGATTGTTCGACTATCTACCATCGTTGTAGGTGCATATCTAGAATTATTTAACTATCTACCATCGTTGTAGGTGCATATCTAGAATTGTTTAACTATCTACCATCGTTGTAGGTGCATATCTAGAAATATTTAACTATCTACCATCGTTGTAGGTGCATATCTAGATTAATTTAACTATCCACCATCGTTGTAGGTGCATATCTAGGATTGTTCAACAATCTACCATCGTTGTAGGTACATTTCGAAGATTATGCTACCTTTGAATTTATGTTTTATTCGAAATTACCTTGCTCACCCTCGGGCAGTCGGGACGTGTTCTTACTTTACACATCGTTCCATCACTACCAACCCACCATACGCCCACCACAACAATCTATGATCCGGGCTAGCATTAATTTTCATTCATTTGTTATGTACGTTGAGTACATCTATACCCAAAGTTAAACCCTAAACCTCAATCCCCTAAAGCAATTTCTGTTCTTGCTGTGCGGCGTATATATTTATTTTGTGCACTGGTTGTATCATTACCCCGAAGTTAACCGCAAACCCCGAACCCTAAATCCTTGAAACTTACAAACCCTAAAGCAATATATATTCTTGCTGTGCCGCGTATCTATTTACTGACTACAATGACTGCATCGGTACCCAAAGTTCAACTCCAACCCCCAAAACCCTAAATCTTCAAACCCCTACAGCAACATATACTCTTGCTATGCGGCGTATATATTTATTTTGCACACTAGTTGCACCTGCAACCAAAGTTATATACTGGTCTGGTATCTTAACGTGTGCTCGTATTTACGTTTAATTGCTGACTCTGGTTTCGTATTGTCCGTTCTTCGCGATATAGCGCACCCATTTAACGGCTTCGTAGTTCTGTTTGGCCTCAATGACCTTCAAGAAACGCACTTGCAGCCCAGAGGGAGCGAACATGGGCACCTGGACATGAGGAGTGCCAGCCAGCGAGTGTGAGTATTAGGGGTTGTAGGGTTTTTAGGGTTTAGGGTTTAGAGGTTAGTATTGGAAGATAGAAGTACCGCACGTCTGCGCAGGACAGGGGTTTTAAACCCCTTGAAACTAAAAAACCCCCAAGTCAACACTAAAACCTAACCACACCCAAACAGCCGCACGACAACCCACACACTATCAGATACATACAGATGCCCATCGACGTTAGTCAATGCATATGCCTATCCCGCGCAGCCTCAACCCATCGAGTACGTACACACCTCTAGCTATTTTCCTGTCTATTAGAATTCCCCATACACGCCTCTAGCTGTTTGTTTATGTCCAAAAGAATTCAAATACCCCATGTATCGTCTCGCAAATATCCATCCAACCACACCTACATACCTCAAATATCCATCCAAACACACCACATCTCAATTATTCATACAACCAC